GTGTGTATATGTATATGTGTATATATAACACATACAAAGCAGTGAAAGCTGTTTAAATTAATTAAACCTAGTCTTAACTATGACCGATTATAATATAGCCATATCTATTACGCGCGTTAGTTTGTACATTTCCAGACTAGCTTTGCAAAGTTAGTTCCATTGGCAAATTGATTCTATATAAATGCGGATGCCATTTCAGCTTTATTGGCCATTCGACTCCGGTACAGAGGCTCTCATTTCATTATCTTAATTTTAAAAATTAAAAGCATTACAAACACATACAAAAAGTACACATATTATATTCATGTATTAATGTTATTTTGGAGTGGGCAAGTACAAATGATGAAATCATTAAACCATATCCCTGTATTCCACTATACTGTCCCTGTTTCAAAGTGTATTTTCCATGGATTGACTGAACATAAATGTTTGTATTTTCGAACCTCAACTGTTGCCTCCACGGCCTTTTTGAAAAGCTACTAAACTGTAGAGAGGTATTGTTTGCAAAAATAAAATGTGAAGGGTCGGTCATTTTAACAAGTAAATTAGCTACGGGGATTGTTCAGTAAGTAGTGAGTTAGCAGTAATGGTAGTGGTGGGAGTGATAGTGTTAGCAAATGATTGCGTAATGTAAGGTGTCTTTATATTTTGGCTCCCTAGCCCCATGGTTTTAAATAAATTCCAAGTGACCATAAATGCAACATCGTCTGACGTAGACGTCCAAATGAATACGTTTGATTGGCCAATAATTTTATTATAAAAAGAGAACTGGCCAATCGGTGAAGTCCTTCTTGGTCGTTGACAGCAACCAACGTACACAATTTAACATCCAGGAACTGGTGTATTGTCTCGTAGGGGGGTTAGTCTAGAGCTGGACAAAACTACTCATCAAATCATAAATTGTGCAATATTCGTATGTTTTTGTTTTTATAAGGTTGTCGGTAAACGTGGCGCTGTCTGTAAATATTTTGCTGGCATGAATCTCGGGTGAGTCTGCTGTTTCAAATGAGCAATAGCTAACTCAGCTAACGTTTGAATGTGTCGCAGCGCAATATAATATGGATGTGTATTGTGTATTTGTGTAACCGGTCGCCTTTAATTATTATACCCCGGTTACATTTGCATCTAAATAGATGCAAATACACAATACAATAAACAACAAACGTTTTTGTAAAACGCGAAACATAACTAGACATACATGCATAGTGCAGATATTAACGTTATAGTGTCTACTGTTTATTGTAGGCTACATAGTCAACAAGAGATAAAGGCGAAACAACAGAGCTGTAAATATTAATGTAACTAGAGTTTCTGCACTAAAGAAAATTAAAGTCATTCTGGGTTTAGACTTAAAACAAACAACAACAGCATGTTGAAACTCTAAAGTGTTCGGATAAAAGGTTCCGTTTTTTAGATGTGATTGTGTGATTTGTTTAAAATGACAGACTGTTTATGTAAAAATGGATGAAAGCTGTGAACCTTTAGTCAAGGACAGTCAGTATGTTAGCACCGGATACAGCACCAACTTAGCACTAAATCACAGACCTGTCTGTTTAGTTCAGTTCATCATGGCCCCACAAGAGGAAATTAATTGTGAAGCAAGGCAGCATTAAACACAATAACACATCAACACAATAAGACAACTGAAGACATTTAAAGAGTGGTACTTTACAAGCAGTACAGAATACTTTTGCAGTCTGTTTACTATTTTCATGTGATTGTGTTTTTTCATATGCCACGATATACAGTATATATATTTTTTGCAAACAGAGATGGGCTGCTGTTCGAACTTGAAAATGGAAAACCCAAGTTGATTTTACTCAGTCATGGTGAGACCTGTCAGCCTTTATGTCTTTTCCATGGAACGTTCACTCACTTGTTGATATTCTGATTTGGTGCTTTTAGTTAAAGACTTAATTTATTAAATAGAGCTTTGCTAAAATGACAAGTTAATTAATCAGTTAGTTGCATGACAGCAAATGAATCAATGACAATTTTGACAATAGACATTGGTTTTAGTGTAGTTTTTTAAGTTAAACGGTATTTTATATATGTACAGTGAGTCTGGCGAATTGTTTCATGCACATTACTTTTATATAAGTTACATACTATTATTGTAAAAATAGCTTTTAAGTAGGATATTTCATTGTTTTCAAATGAATGACTAATACCTTTTAGTTGATTTTGATAAGATCCAACCATCATATCCACACAGGTTATTAAAAAGCGTTGTAAAGGTGTAAACCTTAAAAATAAATGTAAATGGTTGTTGGGCTCATATAGACATCAGGTTTTGCCTTATTTTAAACCAACAGAGCTATTAGTGAGTATAAACCTGTGTGTAATATTTGTGGCTGATCACTGTCACATTCCACCGCAGGTGTTGAGAAGAATCCAGCCAAGGTAGGAATTATTATTACATTTCTACACATAAAACCACCTGGAAGTCCACATACATTTGAACACATATTGCTGTGTACTGCACAAGTTTATATTTCTATTAGACAATAATGTTGATAGGCAAAAAATAAAACTACCCTGGTTCCATCCCTCAGAGTTTTGTCTGACTTAATTTAACTTCATTCCAGCAGCTGTCCTTCAGGCCCAGAGCGGCTAACATCCTTAGCTCCAGGCAGCCTTCCTGTGTGGAGGAGGTGCAGGAGGAGCATCCAGCCTGGCAGCAGGCAGGGAGGCACAGAGAGGCCAGGAGCAAGGCAGAAGGAACAGCCACCTCTTTCACCTGCAACACCGCCTCCACTGAGGGGAGGAGCACCAGACTCACGTTATCCAAGACACATGACCATAACAAAGGACCCAAGGTGAGTGTCATGGTGCATCCCATTTGTTTGCTTCACTGATTAGACATTATCATCTGGTTATCCTCTGATTGGACATTAAACTGCTCTGCCTCTGTGTGTATGCTCAAGGTGAAGCCAGAGAGACACAAATACAACACTACCGTTTACTCCCAGAGAGCCAATGGGAAAACAGGACAGCCTCAGACCAGTGGGGCACGAGGCAGTGCTAAGACCAGACTAAAGGACACACTGGTCAGTGGGGAAACAGGATCGAAGGACGACGTGGTGTGTCTGACCCAAGAGCAGCAGCAACAGATCCTCAGCTCTGTCCAGGCCTCCAGCAATGGCCAACACCCACCTGAGGACCACAGAACCAAAGGTCTTAGTAGTAATGGTAGTATTGTGTTAACACTGATTGTAGTATCCTAACAAGAACTGCAGCACACAGAGAACTCCTGCACATTGCAAACAGACACAAAGGTGGCAAAAATCCACTAACAGTATTAATACAAATTAGGATTGTTTCTGATGAGCCAACAATTTATTTATTACATGTAGAAAAACAGACTTTTCCTTCTTGTCGGTATTATGTTAAACCTCATGTCTTTTCCTCTGTCCAATCAAACAGACTCACAATCTGGCTCCGTGCTGAATGGTGAAGGAGAAAAGAATACACAGGAAGACAGAGGAGGGGAAGCGATAAAGAAGGGAGAAAGAGGAATAACTGATACAACAGGAAGTTCACAGGACAAGGACAGCAGGTGAGGTGTCACCAAAACGGGCGTTTCTTTAACATGTCTGTGTTGCTGACGAAGAAACCATTTAACCTTTTCTTTAGCTGAGCAAATGTACAGGGATGTAGAAATTCAGCTGAATGTCTTATCTCCAGAGGGTCTTTCAGGGGGGTCTGTCATAGAATTTAAAGCTTCTGGTATTAGATCACAGTAAATATAATCAAACAGTGATCAGGGTCAGAGGTCACAGACCATTAGGACCAGTTGGACTTGACTTCTGTATCATATACTTTACTGTTGTAAACACTGCAGGTGTTTGGTTTTCAGTGTCATTTACAGGCCTTGTGCTGCTGCACCCTAACTCTATTCTCTAGGAGAAGTGGATGGGGACAAAACAAGCTTAAAAGCTTATTAACAAGAAACATTATGATAGTTTTCTGGTTTGGAGATAATTAGTTTTACAATTTGCACATTTGGTTCAACAGTACTGTCAGCAGTTCTAGAGCAGGTTGGGTCGATTATAATTCCACATTGCATAGATGTTTTTACAAGTCTGTATTTATAAAATGCTAGTTAAAAGTAGACTGTGGTTGCTATTGGTCAGGTTGTCTGGATGTTTGTTCAGCTGGTTGGAAGAGCGACATTTGGACAGAGCAGCTATCAACGCCAAGAAGGCTCAGTGGAGGAAAGAACTAGGTACACACACACAACCATTTTAAAACTAATCCAGATTTATGTGAATTCTAATGACTTCTTCCAGCTTTTACAGTTTATCTTAGGTTTAAGGCACATTTGCTGTTTAGTTCAGTGTTTCCAGCAGCAGCAGACAAACTCTGATAAACCCAGTGTACGCTACCCCCCCCAGTACCAAACAACAGAGACAAGTGACAAGGTGGTGAAGAAAGTGAAATATCTAGCAGCAGAAGAGCCAGATATTTTTCTCAGGAGTAAGTGGAGACCAAAACAGAGTTAGGATAGTGAATACTGGGCTTACATTTAACAAGTGGACACAAGCTTACAAACTAAAATGTTTGTTCAATTCCTTTATATTTTTTGCCTTAATTAACTGGTCTCCAAATCCTCACCAGAACATGCTTAAAAAGTCACAGAGGTAATCCATACCCCAACCTAAACACAAGCCTTATTCTGAATGTATAATCCCACACAAATTCCCAACCTTTTCTGCTAGATGCACTGTTGAGAATCTCACTGCTAGTGTTTGACATTTTTTGGCTATATTATTAATCAGAAATTACAAGGTACAATTGACAATAACATCTATGTACAGCTTTATTAAAATTATTCTGACAATTGAAATAATATTCTGGTTTTGTGTGTCTGTCTGTAGATGAGCAAGTGGCACTGAAGCAGCGTTCGGCCCCTGGCAGGCTCCAGGTATGGCACATATTTCACCACCAATCTCTAGAGTTTCACTTGGCTGGTTGTTTTTATCAGCGTGGCAAAACTCAGGTCCAATTTTATTCATACAGCCTGATATCAAAAATCACCTCAATTTGCCTCAAGGGCCTTAACAAACTGTACAGCATATGAGGTGACTGCAGTTTTGATTACATCCAAAAACAGAATACTAAGCTAACAGCAAACTAAAATGCAGTGCTGATAACTTGTGTCCACCGAACAGTTATTCTGACACGTGTGTTTCTCTGATTTTGGTTGAATTGCACCGTGTAATGGTGTAATCTACTCTAAGTGCTACTTAGAGTAGATTAGTATTAGTTAAAGTCATTATTAGGTGCCATAGGTTCCAGTTACTACAGACAACAGACCATAGTTGAAGCAGAGAGGCACTTTTTCATTGTGTGCTTTTCCCATGGAGGCTGATTTTGCATGGGAGAGAAAATGTTGCAACATGTCTGGAGATTGTTTTGGATATTTTTTCAACAGTCAAGAACGAAACATGTTTGCTGATGTATTCCGTGGTTGTCATTTTAACTAAAGGTCAGAAATCAAAACATGATGTACAGTGTGCAGTTTATGAAACCTGTAATTCAGCTCGAGATCATCAAATGGTGTTTTTCCATCAGCACGGGTCTGCCCACTTGAACCATGCGGAGCTGGGGAGGCACGGGTTGGCCTCCGTTTTCATCTGTTCCTAGCTGCAGGGTGTAATCATGCTGATTCGGGCTCAGCCAGCCCTGTTTCTACCCAGAGCCGAATGGGGCCGAGCTCTGCCTTCAGCACAGCTGGCTGAAACGTGGCACCACAGGAAAGTCCCTTTACATTGAGCATCGACTTTTTATGTGTTAACTTCATTGCAGTAAGATTTGAAAGTGGAGCTTTTTACTTGGTCTTCTGATGAGGGGTTAAAATAATGCCTAGCACCAAGGGCTCCATGTCGCAAGCTAGTAACATCACACCAACACTCAGACTTGTGTGTCCCATCTTGGCAGCTTGTGCTGCCTCCATGTGATCAAAATGTGGAAGACAATGTGTTATATGGTGCACTGGAAACACAACCCTGCTGACTCAAGAGCAGCTCAGCATGGCTGCGCTTGGCAGGGCTCACCCGTCCCGATGAATAAAAACACCAAAGCATATGAATTGATTACAGATTGACAAAGCACAAACACATTTCTTTTCATAAAATATTTCAGTCTGTGCGTGTGTGTGTGTGTGTGTGTGTGTGTGTGTGTGTGTGTGTGTATATTTCAGGCTGAAGAGGAAACAGAAAGTGTGTTTTCAGTTCAGAGCTCTATCAGCCTCAGAGAGCAGCCTGCAGCCATCAGATCCAGCCTCAAACTCGGGGTAAATCTGACCTGTTAACAGTCTGAGCTGCACATCTGAACACTGCAGCTTTCCACCCTGTAATTTGACTTTTCATCTATGTCAACACAAAGATGCTGAAGCTTAGATGACAAATACTAACATAGCACATGGACAACAGGGAGAGAATGATCTTGATACAGTAACTGTTCATTTCTCCACACTGTTGATACCGTGACACTTTTCCTGTTTGTCAACAGGAAAGAAAAATTTTGCTTCTGTGCTTTACGTATATGAATCAAGTGTGAACTGTGTTGATTTGTAGGAGGTCACGCCAATGGAGGAAGTGCTGAGTGCTGAGAGGAGGAAGGAGCAGAGGAAGCACTGGCTGGAGGAGCTAGACCGACAGAAGGAGGAGACGGCTGAACGCAGGAGGCAAGAGAAACTGCTCCAGAGCCAGGTACAGTAGAGACACAACAAACTAGACATGTACAGCAGAGACATGATAGAAACAAGACAGGCATGGTAGTGACAGAATAGAAACAAGACCCACGGTAGAGACTCAGTAGAAACCGGACAGGTGCAGTAGATACTCAGAGACCAGATAGGTATAGTAGAGATGTAGCAGTATGAACAGGCAGATTTAGTGGATCATAAGTAATTAATCATGTTAGTTACTGCTGTGTTTCATGTCCTTATTGGCCCCATGATCATGTGACCTTTATGTTTAATGTGTCCCGGCAGACGGAGGACCATGAGCTCTGGGCCACACACTTTGAATCGCTGCAGAGGAGGCCTGCTGTTCACACCACAGCTCTGTCAACTCTGCCACCAGCTCCATCCAGAGGCTCTGAACGAGGAGAGTGGGAACCCTTATCCAGACTGTCCTTGGTCGGGGAAGCAGAAAGTAGCTGTGGAGCAGAGAGTGTTGCTGGTGCTAGTGTGGACACAACCAGTGGGTACCAGACCAGAGCCAGGTAGGAGGGAGGGGTGACAAATTAGAAGGCAACAGGTACAAGTGGGTCGATGGATGTAACTTTGGAAAAATTATTTTACCAGGTTATGGATGTGGCTGTAAAATCAAACATGATTTTCTGTTGATGGCTCTTGAGTATTGGGCCACCGGCAGATGACCTGCCATCCCCGCTGTGTTGTCATGCTGCAGAATGAATTTCAACAGATCAGTGTCCTGATGACACAGAGAAACTGATACAAATCTAAATCTGTACTTCAGATTTTGTGTAAATATGTGTGTACTTAACACACCTTTTGTACAGCAGTGTATGTGAATAAATGTTTATTGTATTTCTTACTTTTTTTCTCGTTTTTCGTCCAGCTATCTGCGGACCATGACGGCCCTGCTAGACCCTGCCCAGATAGAGGAAAGAGAGAGGAGGAGGCTTAAACAGCTGGAGCAGCAAGTAGGAGGAGGAGAGGGTGGAACACTGGGAGGGAGAAGTACATTTAGGGAAGCTAAGTTCTAAATATTTAAGTCTCTCTCCTCCTCCTGTGTTGTCCACCAGCGAGCGATCGAGGCCCAGGTGGAGGAGCGGCGGCAGCAGAGGGAGCGAGAAGAGGTGAGGAGGAGAGAAGAGGAAGAGGAAGAAGAGAGGAGGGTGGCGCTGGAGAGGGAGATGCTGCAGAGACAGTATGAGTGGGACTCAAAGAGGGAGTGGCACAAGGTCAGAGAACAACACCTACAGGTGAGCTAACTGTACACGATTCTTCAGAAAAGTAATTTTCTCCACACCATCACTGAGTGTATTTTCTGATAAATGCAGAATCTTTTACTGAATTTTTCTGTATGGCAGTTGTATATAGTTGCTTTTAATGCATATGTGTGTCCTCCAGCAGCTAAACAATCAGGCAGAGCAGCCAAAGGAGACACTGAAGCCAAGTGGTGAGTAGAGATTAGTGCAATAAATGTCCTAATATTCTGACCCTCTCATGCATGTAACTGGGGAGGACAAAAATATAGAGACACCTCTGAATATAATGTAGTCTAGTACAACACCACCTTTAACTATGACCTCAATAATAAACATACAATTGAAATGAAGAACTGACTAAATCTTCTTTCTTTACATTTTCTTTTTTGTTATTACATTTGTTTCTACTTGCTGTTTTTAAGTGCCTTTAGATTTTGTGTTATTATTTATCTGCCTTATATTTCACCTTGTATTGTTTGACATTGTGGAGCAAAGTAAGAATTTCATTGTACAGGGAAACACGGTTCCTTACTGTGCACATGACAATAAAAACTTTGAGTGGTGTGTGTGTGTGTGTGCGCTCAGCAGTTACCAGACATTGTGACTGTTTGGAGGAGGAGGAGGTC